TAGATTGTGTTGGCTATTATAGTCCTATTATTTATTGATAGTTAGATCTGAAGTCTGCTAGGCTGTAGGAGAGGTAGGGAGGCTTATATCTGAATATAAATTAAATGAGGTCTAGTGATTGTTGTGACGGGAGCCATACTGTGGTGGCCACAGGAAGTCCTCTGATGGATCCTACACCTGTCATTCTACTTGAGGCTTTTCTAGAAAAGTCTTCCAGTAAGTCTCAGTCTGCTTTAGAGGTGATTTGCAAGTTACCTTGACCCATGTTTTACTCGACAATGTGGATGTAGGACATTCATGCAACTTTCCTTGACGACTGAGTGAAGATAGTCGTATTTCCTAGGAGCTAACACTATTGGAGCTGGAGTTCTTGTGGGGTCATCTGTCAGATTCCTTAGTTTATTCTCTAAACCATATTATTATCCACATATTGTGGACAGAGTCACTGAGGCTCAAAGCAATGCAGTAAAAAAGGCTAAGTATGGAGGTAAAACCACATTCATCTGCCTCCCATGTGACAGATCTCAACCAGGCTTTTCAAATGTTGCACCGTGTTGCACAAATGTTGCCACCATTTGCTTGGAAGCTCTCAAGTTTCATATCTGGCGATAGAAAGCAGGAGTGATGGAAGGAAGTTAATTTTCCATGTCTAAAAAGCCACTCTTAATTATACCTTTAGAGGCACTTTAAATGTCACCAGTCCTGCTTGTCTATTTATAACATTCAACATGTCATTCTGCCTTGTCCCTTTTTGATGTCTTCTTTTCCACTGCCTTCTCTCCTGTCGGCCTACTCTGGCTTTACACAGCCCCCATTACCTATCCAGTACACGAACACAGCTTGTGTACTGCAATTCCCAATGTGGCCCACAGCCACTGGAGTGGTTTTCTTGCTGTTGTTGTTGTTTGGGGTTTTTTGTTTGTTTCAAAAGTATTTCCTTTTCATCCTCAACTTTCAATGTTTATTATTACTAGGGTGACCATCAGTTTGCCTGGAGGGGGGCGAAGTTTTAATCCTAGCATCATTAAGAATTTTACTTTTTACTCTCAAAGGTATCCTAACTTGGGTCACTCAAGTATGTTCAACTTAATTATTGATAACTGAATGAATCACAAAGTCCCCACCTTTACATTCTGGCTTCAATTTTCCTTTCCAAATTTCCCCACCACTTCACATGTATTTGAATCCTAACACTTGCCTGGTGGGTGGGCTGTGATAAACACATAATGATCATCCAAACATCTTGGCGTGTTCTCAACCTATGTATGTTCCAATGGAGCCTTGGTGTCAGTGGTTTGTTAAGTGTTGCGCTGCCAACCAGCAGGTGAGTGGTTTGAAACCATTAGCTTCTTAGCAAGAGAAAGATGGGCGTTCTTGTCCAATGAAGATTTACAGCCTCAGAAAGTTGATGGAGGTTTGCCGGAGTGAGTCAGAAACAACTCCATAGCAGCAGGCTAATATACCTATTCCAAGGAGCTCTGAGACTGCAGTGGTTAAGTGCTCAGCTGCTACCCAAAAGGTCAGCAGTTCGAATCTGCCAACAGGAGAAAGATGCAACAGCTTCATCTTTATAGACATAGAAAGCCTGGGGGAAGTTCTACTCTGTCTGGGTCACTATTACCCAGAATTGACTTGTCCGCAATGGGTAAGATAAGGCATACTTTTTCTTGTTCTACATAGCTTGGCATACTTCTAAAAGATTCAAGCTTCTTGTCCAACACCTAGATTTACATTGTGGTGGTTGTTGTTGTTAAGTGCCGTCGAGTCGCAGGCGACTCATAGCGACCCTATAAAGGAGAGTCCTCAACGCTTATGTGTCTTTCATCCTCTTTCCAGGTTCATAGGGTTTCCGGAGGCAAGCTATTATGGAAGTGGATGCCACTCCTGCTTCCAAGCTTGTTTTAATCGGGGAGCACCACCCCACACTGTCTGCATTGGGTAACCAACCATTAACGTATTTGACACATCAGTGTCACAGTGTCACAGATTTACATTATATCTCATTAATACAACAGTAATCTAAGCATCTTGTATAGAGTCATGCAGCCTTCCTCTGACTTCCCAGTACTTGCAGTAGCTTGGCTGAAGGGTATCATGAATTGAAATAAGTGTGTAATGAGGTAATGTGGAGGTTATGTGACGATTGTCCATGTCCTGGTAAAATCTATAAAAACTGTAAAAAGATTAACATGAGATATAGCAGCCTTTACCTCATCAGGGTCCTGAATCGGTGAAAGGGGAGTTTCCTTAGGCTGTAGCCTGAAACATCGTTTGTCTCAGAAGAGATTAAAAGAGAGAGAGGTGCACAGGGAACAAGGGATCTCAGTTATCACTGACAAAGAAGACGAAGGGTGGAATGCACACCTTTGCACTCTGGTTCCTGTGTTAGGATGCTCCTTGACACATGAGATGGTCAAGACTTATGGAAATCTCCAAGGAATGATGGGACTACAGATATGCTGAAGGATACAAGACCCTTACTCTGGAAGCAACACTGAAAGACTTCACTTAGAGCTGGCACCTGCATTTGGACTTTTAGCCTCATAAACTAGGAGAGTATAAATTTCTGTTTGTTAAAATCATTCACAATCAACACTTTTGGCACCAGCTGCTAAGAAATTAAGAGATGAATTGCTCTGGGGAAAGCCACTGTTAGGGACCTCTCCAAAGTACTAAAGAACAATGATGTCAGTCTAGAGACTAAGGTGCACCTGATCCAGGCCATAGAGCTGAACAATAGCCAGAGCTGACAGAAGAAATATTGATGCCTTCAGTATTATTGTGGCGCTGAAGAAGAGTGTTGAATATATCATGGGCTAACAATGGAACAAACAAGTTTATCCTGGAGAGGGTGAAATCAGGCTGCTCCTTCGAGGCAAGGATTTTGGAACACTGTCTCACATCCTTTGGGCATGTGGCCAGAAGAGAGCAGTTCCTGGAGAGGGACATCATGCTTGGAAGGGTGGAGGGATAGTACAGAAGAAGGCCCTGGATGAGATGACTTGAACCAGTAACTGGGGTAATAGAGGTAGATGTGTCAGAGACAGTGAGACTAGCTCAGGCTAGGGCAAGTTCAGTGCTATTGTGCATAAGGTCACTATGAGTCACAGACAACTCAATGACATATAACAACAAAAATAATCATCCACTTGTTGCTTTAGAATTTAAGGTGTAATATGATGAATGTGTCAAGCTGCCAACTGAGATTAATAGCTTGAAACTACTAGACGCTTCCCAAGAAAAATATGGACAATCTCCTTCTATAAAGACTTAACATCTTTAGAAACCCAATAGAGGGTTATTATGAGTCAAAATCAACTAAACAGCAGAGGTTGAGGCAAGCTGTGCTATTTTTAAAAGAATCATTTTAGAAACACATACCAAAATATTGAAGATAAAATTCTACTAGGTATAAAATTTGTTTGAAAATAATAAGAGGGGAAAGTCATGTGCAAGGTGTACTAGAGCTCAAAATCTGAAGCCCCCCCACCTTGTGGAAATACATCATCTGTGGCAGACCTCTAAGTCCGTTCTGAGTCTAAACGTAGGCTCAGACTCCACATGAGTTTATTTCTAAGCACAAACCAGTCATGCGACTTTGCCCTTTAGAAAGCTGCCTGAAATCACAGCTATCAGACAAGCTTATGGAGAAAGACCCACAGACCTAGACATAGCCTTAATTATTCCCATAAGGCATAGCTCTGACTACTGTGCAGTCGGGTTGTAGAAGTCCCAGAACCAACCCGAAAAACTTTTAATTTGAAATGTGTACATATCATAATTATAATCTTTCACCCACAGAGGTAGCTGTGCCTACAGCAATGCTTCAGAATCTTACAAATGAGAACAGTAACCATGAATGAGAAAATAGCAACAAATACATTGCTGATGGGTATCCACCATTTCTGGAACGGTTTTGTTTGGCTCCCTGCTTTCTGTTTATGTCTTAAGAAACTCTGAAGGAATCCACTTGTGTTACCTCATTTACAGCAGGGCCAGATAACTAAGAGGAAAGGTGGTTCGATAAATAACGCTTGGGTGCAGGGAGGCTTTCACAAAGCTGTTTCAATAGAGCAGTAGTGCAGAGATGTCAGACAAAAATTATATTGAGGTGGAAAGGAATGATGATGGGACTCCTGTTTATAAGTTACGAAGGGACTTGAGATCAGGGGAGACAGCTGTTGGTGACCAGCATCAGAAGAATAGAACATATTTGTCAGGGTCTCTCTTTCTCACCCTGGATCTCAGTGAAGATTGGTCGGCTTGAGATCATTCCCCAAGAAAGCAGTTCCTATTTCCAGAACCACCCTAACGTTCACCCTTATGGCCATATTTTTCTCTCCTAGTTCCTCCCTCCACTCCACAAAAATCACAACTTCTGACTTTCAACAAATTTTATAGTATTAATTTCCAGAAACAATATTTAATTTCATATAATAACTTGAGTCACACATGTGCCTTCTCAAAAGTAACAAAAATCTTTTCATTGTGCTGACTGTTGAAGAACCTTTATGCAGTTCCGAGGAGGTGAGGAGGAGGTAACATTTTCACATAGCTCAGGGAATTGAATTCTCAGGGATACTTAAAAGAAAAGCAACTTAGCCCAAGACTTATATTTTACAAAAACAACAAAAACCCCTATGACTAATACACAATTGTGGTATTTCATTTATAAAAATCAATAATTTAACTACAATATATTTAAAAAATTATATAATAAAACCCACATCACAAAAACAAAACAAACAAAAAACCCCACATCACTTTGGGAACAATGACACAAGATTACATCAAAACACAGATAGGGCAGGTGAAATAAGCATTTCTCAGACTCTCGTTTTGTTTCAAAAGCAGTGACATTTATGGCTTTGAAGTGGAGGACAGGTCTGGCAGCCTACTTCTTTAGACTGCATTCACTGATGGCTCTACGAAGTGCATTCTTCTCTGACACACGTGGCATCACCATCAGTCAGAATCACCTTAATGCCATTGAGCTTCCCTTATGGCTTTGGAGTTGGAGATTTTTGGTCCAGGTACTTCATGGAATCTTGAACCCACTTCTCTTTGGGGTCAGCACAAATTTTTTTAGCCAATTTGGTCTTGAAGCTACATATGAGAGAAGACACAATTAGGATTCCCTTTAAGAAGTCTACTCTCTTGACCTTAAATCTCCCAGAAATATTTTCTATAAAACAATTACCATGGAGGGGAGGAAGAGACAGAGGATAGATGACACTCTCAGTGTTAGCTGCTGTTCTTTCTTAAAAATTTTATTGTATACTCATTTACAAAAGTTCATAAAGTTCACATATGTATATGGTGTTTTTCACACCAGGCCTTTCCCCTTTCCTTTACCAATCTCTTCCTCCACCAGTCAAGTTGTGCTACACTATATTTAACCCCTCTCCCCCTCCCCCTTAGCTCCTTGTACATGTTCTACAATATTGGTCCTATAAAGTATTTGTCTTTATAAGACTGAGTTAGTTCACTTAGCATAATGCTCTCCAGTCCCTCCCATGTTAGGTAGTAATTTACAAAATCATTGCTCCTGTGTGCTGCATAGTATTCCATTGTGTGATGGCTTTGCAACACCATCTTACTCTTGACTTGAGGAATTTGGTCAGCCTCGAACAACTTCCCAAGTAGGAAGCAGAGACTTAAAATTTTATTTTGAGAAAATAGATCAGTTGAGCTATAAAGGTGGTGTAGTCCATAGGGAGTTGTGCTGCTAACTGAAAGGCAGTGTCTCTCCGGTGGTTCAAATCCACCAGCAGCTTTAGGGGAGACAAATGGGCAATCTCCTTCCGTGCCGTTTACAACCTCAGAAAACCTGATGCAGGGTCAGTTATGAGTCGATCCTGACTCAAAGGCAATGAGTTTTGAGTTCGTGACTCCACGTAACTCTGGCACAGTCCTTGACCTCAGCCATCTCTAATGGTTTGGGGGGCTAGGGAGAGTGGACCTTTTTCTACTTACACCACAGCGTTCAGGGGACACTTGCTGCCAGTGATCTTTGTGTAGCTTTCCAGCCTCTGGATGGGGATCTTCTTACTGCTCACCTTGAAGCAGCAGATGGTTGGAGGAAGAGCTGAGTTGGAGAGGCAAAAGAAAAAAAAATATTAGTTACCAATGGTATGTGGATACTTTAAAGCACAGTTTTATTAAAAGGGAGAAAAAAAGGAAAATTAAAAGAAGGCAAGGGAATATAAGAGATAGAAGTCGAAGGTATCCGTACTGAAGTCTTGGGTCCCTGACTCTGGCTTGGTGTCCTTAGTTGACCATCACTACTGATAAAGAGCCCTTAGAAAGCACAGTCAATCTGTCATTAGGAGGATATGTATCTAGATGCTAGTGATAGTACTTTTCACCAAATAACTCCCTTTCTCTTTGGTCTGAGCGTGTGGTAGAATCGCTCTTCTTGATCATTTTTAGTTGGTTGGAGACAATAACAACTCTTTTTTTTCTTTCTTTTTTTTTTTTACTTTTTTTTCCTTTTAGTATTTTTTAAATTATTATTAAATTTTATTAGTTTTAATGAACATTTACAGAGATTTGGGGTTTTCATTCATTCATTATTGCACTGTTTTCTCTACCCTCCTCCCCAGTTCGTTCTTCTTTACCCCCCCAAACTCTGTTTTAATTGTCCATTTGCCACAGTGCTTGTTAAAGCCAGTTCTGATTAATCTTCTTTGTCAGTGTGTCCTTTGCCATTCCCTATCACTCCTCCCTGAGAGAGACTTCACCCTGATTCATAAGGAAGACAATAACAACTCTTAACCAAAAGGTGGTGGGAGGAAGTGACACACAAGATTGCCAGTGCAAGATCACCATCCTTCTCCATGCCTAGAGCTTTTTCTTTGTTGAAGTGGCCAGAATTATTCTGTCTATTCTATTCATAGCCTTGACTATGAAATATATAAAGCAAAGCCACTCGTTAATGCATAATACATGTGTAGTGCGAGCGAGCAATCAATCTTTTAAGCCAGTGGCAATTTGTGACCACAGCACACATTAGCTTATGCTGACAGATACCCTCAATGCAGCTAAGTCATCAGAGACTGGAAAGATCAATTCTGGCAAAACCACCTAGATGTTTCCCCCCAGGGATATCAGAATCAAAATATGTCATTTCAAGAGATTCCCAAGAGGCCTTATTCTTTTTTTTTCTTTCTTTTTTTTTCTTCTTAGTCTCAGCCTCTGCAAACTGTTTTGGAACCCAGTAAAAATTCTAAACTTTTTCAGTGAACAGAGTTTAGTTTTAGGTTTTCTTATTCTCCATGACTACCAGAGTTGCCCACCGTACCAGCACGAGAAGACCTTTCTTTTGTGTGCCCATCCTAAACACTGCAAAAGTAGCTGGACTGTGGATGAGCTGCATCTGCAAATCTCATGTCAGGGAACAAACTGGGGAACTGACTAATCTTGGTCTCATCAGCTCCTTTCACTGACCAACTGTGCGAGGCTAAACTATCTCTCTTGTGACTCATGAAATATGTTCGCCTATCCTTAAACTACAGGGTTTGCAGTGAGCTTCTGAAGGTCCTTACTGCTCTAATAGCTCAGAGATGGTTAACTTCCCCTTAGGAAATGTGCGGGATGGCTTACCTGGCTGAGCAAGCACATGCGTGCTGAAGGTGGCCATAGAGATCAGCAGGCAGAGGAGTGCTGCAGAGACCTTCATGGTGCAGAGGGAGGAGGCAGGCGTCAGTGAGAGGGTTGATAGCTCTGGGCTGACTCTCAGCTTCTCTGCCCCTCTCGAGGCTCTGCCTGCCTTTTATAAGGAGCAGAGATTGGGTGGGGAGCCCCCAGAGAGATCTTTGTCTCAACAAGATCCTAACTAAGAAATAACAAAGGCCATGGATTTGCTGAGCAAATTCCACAAACTAGGGGTTTAATCAGACATAAAATAAATAAGTGGTGGGTTGAGACTTGGCACAGTTGCAGTTAATCTTAAGAGGTAGGAATTAGGGAGAAGAGAATACATGATTGTGAAATAGCTGAGCACATTCATAGCTATCCCGAGGGTCATGCTTGAAAGCCCTTCTTTTCTGAAACAAGACATCTGTAGAGGAGGGAGGAAAGGAAGCATTGGAAAGGGAGGGTGGAAGGGAGATGAGAGGATCAAAGAAACTTCCTCTGTGTTCACATTGCAGTCTCCAGTTTTGACAGTCAAGAAGCTGCCAAAGTTGGACACCAAACCTCTATTAGGCACAGACTCAGGTGAGAGTGAGATCTCAGCAGCTCTGAACATTGCGGTGATGCTGGAATCTCAAGAACTTCAGTTGCTAACTCAAAGGTTGGGAGTTTAAACCCACCAGGCTGCCCTGCTGCTGTTCTGCTCCCATCAAGATTACAGCATTGGGAAGCTTACGAGGCAGTTAGTTCTACTGTGCCCTGTAGAGTCACTATGTGACAGAATAGCTCGAGAGGACCTGGCTGTCCTGTGAGCTTTAAACTGTGCTTATCTGTTAAAGACTTTCTCCAAATGTAATTAAAATGTCAATCCCATTTTGGAGCAGATGCAATTGGAAAGAAGAAGAGGGGAGCCTCTATTCTTTCGCTCCCAAGGAAGATAGCCTGAAAACCAGCATTCTTTCTCACCCTTACTGTCTGTGTACACTCTGCAGAGAAGGTATCTGATTGATAAGATGTGATGAGCAAGTGAAGCCAAGAACTCACTTTTACCTTCCACTTGCACATACAAGGCCCTCTAGTGAAGGAGGGGTCAAGAGGAGGCAAAATCTTCAGTAGAGTTGGCTGTGCTTAATACGGGCCACTGTGGTGATGCAGTCTAAATGGAGATGTGCTGCGAACCCAAACACAGTATCTTTCTGCAGGTCCTAATCCACCAGCAGCTCTATGGCAGAAAGATGGGCAATCTTCTCCCATGAGATGTATGTTGTTGTTGTTATGTGCCATTGAATCACTTGTGACTCATAGCAACCCTATGTACAACAGCCCTAAACTCTGCTCTGTCCTGTGCCGATCGCACTGTCTCCAATACACCCATCCCAATGACCCAGTCACTGAATCAATCCACCTCATAGAGGGCCTTCCCCTCCTGAGCTGTCCCTCCAACCTCCCAAGCATGATGTCCCTCACCAAGGACCGGTCTCTCCTTACAACATGTCCAAAGTATGTCAGACAAAGCCTCAGAATCCTTGTCTCCAAGGAGCCGCCCAGTTTAACCCTCTCCAGGATGAATCTGTTTGTTTTCCTAACAGTCTGTGGTACCCTCAACACTCTTCTCCAGCAACACAGCTCAAAGGCTTCAATTCTCCTTCTATCCTGCCTATTTATTGTCCAACTCTCTGATGCATAACAAGTGATAGCAAAGACCATGGCCTGTATCAGATGCACCTTAGTCTCCAGAGAGACACCATTGCTCTTCAGAGCTTTGAAAAGGCCCCTAACAGCAGACTTTCCCGTCACAATACATCTTTTAATTTTCTGGCTACTGGTGCCAAGAGTGTTGACTGTAGAGCCAAGCAAACTAAAGCTGTGAACAATCTCAATCTCTTCACCATCCATCATGATGCTGCTAATTTGTCCAGTGGTGAGAATTTTTGTCTTCTTGACATAGAGCCTCAATCCATACTGATATAATCTCTGGAAAGAAAAAAAAAAGCACCACACACCTCAAAAAGCCAACCAAAGAAACAAAACACTGGAGGGTCACCCAGGAGTTGATTACAAGTTGACAGCAATGAGTTGAGAGAATGGTGAATGAGAGCCTTTGAGTATTGAACTGAAGACCCTGTAATTCTATTTCTTGACTTTTCCTAGACAGAAGGTCATCTGTGAATTGACATAGCAGATTGATTAACTGGTCTTGGGTACACAGAAAGAGACATGTTGAGAAGGTTTATGAGACTTTGCCTTGAGTTAACAGAAGAAGCATCACGATGGGCTGATGATATCTGCCATGGGGACAGGAATACGAATGACTTTTGGAGTCTATATGATCTTTAATTCCCATCTAGCAGAAATGGACTATGATTACTTTTTAAAAGGAAACTTGGACCACTAAGAACTATGACAGAGAGGTTCTTACTTACTCAATTCTAGTTCATGTCAACTAGTGTAGACTCTGGAGCCAGTCTGCTTGTGTTTAGAAGATAGCTGTACCACTTACCAACTGTGATCCCAGGACAACTTAACCACTTAACCAGTCTCTACTAGGTTAAGAGCAGGATGAAAGTGAGGTCCATTTTACAGGATTCTTGTGTAATTAATCTATCATCTATCTATCTATCTATCTATCTATCTATCTATCTATCTATCATCTATCTATCATCTATCTATCTATCTATCTATCTATCTATCTATCTATCTATCTATCTATTATCTATCTATCTATCTATCTATCTATCTATCTATCTATCTATCTATCTTTGGAGTGTTTAGAAGAGTGACTAGATCATTGAGTGTTGTGTAAGTGGAGGTTTTTGTCATCACTAGGAAATCTAGATTTTTGTGAACCAGAGGATGCTGGAAAGAAACTCAGTTTGGGCACACAGACTCCTCCACATGTTCTCCATTCACCCTAAAAATTATCTATCCTTCCAAGTATAGTCACAATATACTCGGGATAAGTTTCAGGAATGCCTGTATAACCCACTGGGAGCATATGAAGTTCCCAAACTGGGCCAGTACAAACAATTTGGGATTCTCTTGAAGTCAAAGGTGTTTGGCTGACACAGTTGAGCAATAAACTGTCTCAGTGAGAATAATTCCCTAATTCTGCTGGGAGTTTGGAGATCCACTGTCCATTTCATTTTTCTGTTTTCATTTTCTTCCTTGAACTTTGGATTTAATCTAGCCTTGAGAAACTATAGCAACAATAAATCAATCAATCCTTAAATATGCGAGCTCAACAATTTTTCCATCAGCCACTTAATCCTCCGGTAATTCCCCCCCCCCCTTCCTTGGAAGCTTCTTTATCAGTAATGACCTAAATCCACAAAGTCAATTTCATAGCAATAACCTTTTAATCACTGCCATTGCGTCAGAACTGACTCATAGCTGACTTCCATTTAATATCTAAGACTGTAAATTGCATAGGAGGGCATTTCCCATCTTTCTTCTCAAGAGCCACTGGTGGATTCGAACTACCAGAGAGAGTCAGTCTTTGCATTAGCAGCACTACTCCCTAGAGACACCACCAGAGCTCCTCAAGCAATAACCTAGAATTACATACATTAAAAAATAGTGCACCATGTAAATAATACACACACATAACAGGCAAGAATGGTGAAATCATGTAACAAAAATAGAGATACCATTTGACCCAGCAATTCCACTACTGGGAATATACCCTAAAGAGACCATAACTGATATCCAAGCAGATATAGGTACACCCATGTTTATCGTGGCTTTGTTCACAATAGCAAGGAGTTGGAAACAACCTAAGTGCCCACCAACAAACGAATGGATAGAGAAGCTGTGGTATATTCACACAATGGAATACTATGCTGCATTGAAAAACAAGGAACTCATGAAATATTATTAAAAATGGAAGATCTTGGAGGACATTATGCTGAGTAAAATATCTCAGTCACAAAAAGACAAATACTGCATATTGCCACTGTTATAGAATGGGACTGACATCAGGGTTGGGGTAAGACTGAGAAAAACTGGATAGATTATGTATACTGCATTGAAACAGATGAAGGAGAGAACCGTTTCAAAGCTATATATGATAGGGTATTATGATTATCACAGGAATCCAGAATTAAGGTTGCATAGTGGAGTGCGTCGGGGGTGGGGGAATTGTATACTAACAAAGAAGTTAATCTTTTGCCTTATGAAGAGATGAACAAGCTGGGGGGAGGGGGGATGTAGACAAAAAAGTGCAACAATGAATGAATGAAAATCCAAAATCTCTGTAAATGTTCATTAAAATTAATAAAATAAAATAAAAAGTTCAGGGTTAGTGAGCCTATGAATATACTGTGCATATCTCACAACTTTTCTCAAAGTTAATTTTTGCCTCATTTACCCTCATTAAAATAAAAAAAAGGTTATTTTAAATTATATTGTATAACAAAGGTATGAGCTCTGGAGACCTAATGTTAAGCAGCTGTGCTGCAATAATCCCAGTTTGAATCCACCAGCTGCTCTGCTGGAGAAGGATGGACAATCTCCTCCCATGCAATTACTACCTCCGAAAACCCTCTGGTCAGCTATGGGCCAGTTTCAACTTGATGGTACACAACACCAACACCAATACAATAAAGGTATACGCCCAAGTCAAGAAATTTAGTAGTACATTATTGTGTACCATTGAGTCGAAATGCACCCATAGCTGATCCTCTGGCAGATTTTAAAAGGCAGTTAGTTAATCACACAGGAAGAGATTGCCCATCTTTCTCCTGCAGAATCCTGGTGGATTTGAACTGTGTGCCTTCAGAATTGCAGTGCAGCTTCTTACCATTAGATCACATTAGTAACTGGAAAAGAAACAATTGAGACTGTGTTGCTTTGGTACAGAGTGATCTTTTCAGTTGCTCTACACTCAGATATATTATGGCAGGGATGGGAAGAGGGTTGGGTGGAAAGCTATTGCCCATAATTACTCCATAGCCTGGTTTCGTGCAGAGACAGCAAAAGGCCCTATCCCACCATTGGACCAGAGCAATCTTAGACTGTAGTAGCCCCAAGTACAGCCTTCCACTCAAT